TTTTTTTTTTTTCTCCCTTTTCTTTTTACTAAATTACCAAGATGATATGTTGCGGAAATGGGAGTATGAGGTTGAGAAATCAAAGTGAAAGATAAAGTGATAAAGCGGCTGTCGACCACACCCTGTTTAGTGAGAACCAACACCACATACCCCTTTTCATCATGTTTCTTTGCCTAATTTTTGTTTCCTTCCTCTGTTTTGAATTTGAGGCTCACTCACACGTCTTTTTCCTTTGATTTTCTACAAAAATCCTGCCCACAGAACGAAAGAGTAATCTTGCGCAGACTCAGCCAGAGATTCAAAACAACCCATTAAGTGGCATCTGGGAACCTGACACTGAAACGAAATAACTCAGTTCAAATATTGCGATATCAACTCTTCTGAAGTACGGAATACATATATATATATATATAAAAATCTTTGGCAGATACTACAAAGTATTGAGACTAATCATCGGATTGCCGAAAAAGTTTTTACAACACGACCGCGAGAACAATTTCGCGTGTTGTAAACAGTACAAAATTAAGCAAAATTGATAATGTACAACTTTTTTTGGACTTAGGAAACAAAAAAAATGTCTTTGCCAGTTCCACGAAAAAAAAATTGTTTCGCTCATCCACCTATATTTCAAATTGAATTGAGACTTTTTCTGCCCCTATTTCTGACTATTTACTCGAACAAATTACTGGTCTCATTTCATAGAAGAAAAACAAAACGAAGACTGCTAGTCTTGCTTTATGTTAATCGATCCTCTTGGGTTTGGCCTTCTTCCTCAGCCGTGTTTTTAGGATGCAAATCCCATCAGATTGTTAATTTCTTCAATCAGCTGCAAAAAACTGGATTGGAATTTGCAGATCTTTTATTTCCATGGTCAAAAAGAATCCCGGAGAATGTTCACTAGCTGAAGCAGTGCATGCCACCAGGTCAGAGCCAATTAGCTTAACTCTTCAACTTCAAACAACAATCGTCTCATGGGGCTCAAAAAGGCTACTTAATGCCTGAGGAGAAACCTTGCCTTGAAGGAAATCCAGTTTGACGCATCCGACGAGGTCGCTCATTAATAAGACGCTTGTCAGATGGTCCTGCCCCCAAAATTCCCAGGGAACTTGGATCTATGATTCGGTTACCATTATTTGTAAGTCGTTGAGATGTTGGTGGAGGTTGGGAATGAGACTCAGCTTCAGCCCTCCTCCTCCTTTTCCACGCTTCAAACTTGGCTATATCAATACCCTTGTGAACTGGTTCAGACATTTGATAACCCACTGCATTCTTGTGCCCTCTTTGCTTCTCACTAAGACGTGAGAGAGGAGGAAAGTAATTAGAATCACCATCCCTATCAAAATAACCAGATATAGAGCCATTGACCTGCGAGGGCCCAACCCCCCTCTCCTCTTCCTGCTCCTTCTTAAGCTTGGAATAAATCTGATGCAGCTTCTCACCAGAGAGATTGGAAAATGTAGAGACATAGTTCCATAATCGCACTGTCATCCCTACAAGAGATTTGACAATATGAAAAAGGTAAATATTCATATCATATTAAGATGCAGTCAAACAGTTCATATCAGTATCTACATTATAAACCAGGCAGAAAAAGTAAAAGATATGAGAAAGTGAATCCAAAAGTCTATTTTTTAAAACGAAACAAAAAATTGATGAATGCAATTTATGAAGTGATACAAACAAAATGAGTCACAGAAATGCAGAAACACATACTATCTTGTTTATACAGTTCATCCTCATGTTCTAGCACAATCTGATCTATCTTTCGTCCAAGAAGCTGCAAGTAATTCCGAATTTTTGATAGCACCTGGAAGCAAATAAAAGAAAGATCAAATACATAATTCTAGCACACAGAAAAATAAAAAAGGGAAAAAAGAAGGAAAGAACAAAGAGGAGGAATGGGAACAGGAGAGAACAAAACCCAGTGCACCTTTTCCTTCGGAAGCCTGTCACTAGTAGTCTGCAACTTCTGAAGACGTTCAAGAGTTTTGATTTCACCAATCATGACATCTTGACACCATTCCATCCATTTCACTTCCTTGAACTGTTCATAAACTTCCTCGTTGTCTGACATCTCACCCTCTTCCTTTGCTAAAGGTTCAACTTTCTGTGGCCTCTGAGCTCTGTCCTTGCCCATTTTGAAACTGACCTTAGGGGAACCAGGTTTTCCCCTCTTGTCTCTGCTGCGAGAAACTGGAACATTCACAACATTCTCCCTCTCCTTCTTGGAAGTCTTCCGACCTGCTTTAGTTTTTGCATTCTTTCCCCCAACAGCAGCAAGCTCCTGATATGGGAAAAAAGTCATAGCTAAATGGACAGAGTACAAATACTGACATAAAACCCATCACGTATGCATGCAAGTGCCCCAAAAGCACACATCTATGCAGCTAAAAAAAAAAAAAAAAAAAAAAAAAAAAAAAAAAAAAAGAAAAGGGAAAAACAAGCATGAGCTCATTAAAAAAAAAAAAATATATATATATATATATATATATGTATGTAAACTGAGAAAAGGGAATCCAAATCCATAATTGAAAGATCATACCTCACAATAATGCTTAATGCGCCTAGTGGGGTGACCAAAACTGCTGGGGCAAATGCGTATGCTACAAAGTTTGCTACCTCACCAACAATCACTACATCAAAAATGATAAAACAACAGAGATTCTACAAACAATCAGTAACGACAAACAATAGCTCCTATTCCACTCCTCTCCAAGCCAATGCCATAGTAAGTCACAACCATCTTCTGTGGCTACTAAGATAACTACCTAATGACCTAAGGGGCTCCAATTTGCAGCAAACGATTACAAACCATAATAAAATCGTAGAATTTTCTAACAAATAACCAATGCAAAACATCAAGAATTTTTTTTTTTTTTAAACCTAAAATTCTAAACGCATCAACTTTGACCAGGAGGAATGAATTATAATCGAGATAAAAAGAACCATGAAAAGGAATAAAAATCAACTTACTTGTGATCATTCCTAACCACCATAATGGCTCCAACAGATACGCATACCCACCAACGCCTAAAGATTTCCAGGGATCGATGAGAAACCATTTCAAGTTTAGCCCAAATATATATATATATATACCCATTAACAGTAACACAAAATTCAGACAAGAAATCAACAAAAGGTTAAGAATTTACCAGCTCTAACACCAGAAATTGCAGCTGCTCTTCTAAGACCTTTCTTCTTGATTATAAAACTAGCCCCAATAAACCCACTCGACATCAATGCCAAGATGATTCCTTTTAGATTATCTGGAGAGAAACCCATCTCGAATCTCCTATTTCCTGATACCCCTTTTCATCGAATTCGTCCAATCATTAGTATTGCCTCATAATCATCACCGTATTCGTTCGTGACGGGTGAAGATGCCCTGTTTTTGCAGTGAAATGTGGAAGAAGTTATTCTGTGCGATACAATAACTGCTGATTTCTGTGCGCCCGCTTTCTTTTCCACTCTAACTAATTTTTCCTCAATCATAAGTTCATAACCAAAAATTAACAAAATTATAGGTAAGAAATAGAAAAAAATGGGGAAATAATAAGTTACTAGTATGGTAATATTATCATTTTTGCAGGATTCTGTTTAAGATGTACAGCTGTGATGATGAAGACTTACAATCGGACGACAATGAAGGTTTGCCGTTTTGTTTGTAT